CATTCCTACTGTCATGCTTTTTATTTAATTTCTTAATCAGGAGTACATTGAGTTTCCTGATTATCTTCAAGCACATCTAAACCTCGTTTTCCAGTTGACTGGATAGGGAATCAAAGGCAAAGCAAACAGTTCTACCTGAAAAATAGTTCATTTATTGTTTGACCTTGTGGGAAGCCAGGAGAAAATACTTTTTCTACCCATTATAACGCAATCGGACATTGGAAATCAAAATACCACTTAAAAGAGAGAAGAAGAAAAGGAAGGAAGAAAGGGAGGGAGGGAGGGAGGAAGGAAGGAAGGGAGAAAGGAAGGAAATATATTTTGGCAAAAAAATATGATCTAAATAAACCTTAATTATCAGAATGAAAGCTATCAGCATTTTACAGAAGCCTGGTTCTCCAAAGTAACTTGAAAAAATTTTTTCTCAAGAAAGTTACTGGTAAATATGGAATTGAAATGCACAAGCCAAAATGTGAATTTATAATGAGAAAAGTCAGACTGATGAGAGATTGGGATAGAGGAGAATTGCCAAGGATCACAGAGATTACCAAAACAGGATTTACAAAGAAAACAACAGAAGGGAGGGAGGGAGGGAGGGAAGGAGGAATTGAGCTTGTATCATCATTTTTTTGCTTCCTTTTGCTACACAGATGTCACATGTCACATTTCATCACATGTTTGGGACAATGATTGTACTTTTTCACCAAAATATTTTTGGATTATTTTTAGACTTCTTAATTTTGATTTTAGGATTTAATAATTATATTTATTATGATTATATAAATTATAATCTGCCGGTTCTGCCGGTTCTAGGGGGTCTGGCCAATTTAACCCTTTGTTAAATTGCTGGCTCACCCCGCCCCTTGCCCCGCCCCTCCACACCACTATTTATTGCCAATAAATAGGGGCGGGCGAGGGACGGGCAAGCCAGCAATTTAACAAAGGGTTCGGTGTTTTTTTGTAATTTTATTGGCCCGCGGAGCTTCAGCATAGGCTAATTAGCCATGGCTTAGATCAGCTCCCAAGTCTCAGCTGATTTGCTCTCAGCTGTTTTGCTCACAGTTCTGCTGCTTGCTTGCAAAGAGTGCTGATTTTTTTTCACCTAGCTATACTGAAAAACGAAACAGAAAGTAAAGCAGGCTGTTGGCTTTGCACGTTGGAAAATTAGGCAGGCAGATTTCTTTTCTTTTTCCTCACCAAAAAAGGTAGGTGCAAACAATGGGAAATTTAGGGCAAAAGAGGAGAGTTCAAGATTTTAAAACACAAAAGAAAAAAAGCTCTATTTAACTAGGGAATTGTAATAATTGAGATACTATTAATTGTATATTGTGTTGAAAGCAGAAATGGTTAAGTTGTGGTTTGGAGGAATATATGGGGGAAGTTATTTGGATTATTATTATTGGCAAATATAATTAATTGATTTGTAAGAAATTGGATTGCATGGAAATAATTGGAATATTCATGTTCATATTGATTAATATACAAAAAAGGTAGTTATATAACTAATTGATTTATATTAAAATGTTGAATTTATATTAAACAACTGTAATATTACATAATTAACCAATGTGAGGATGGATATAAAAATAGATGACAATGGGAAGGGGTATAATATAGAACAGAAGGGAAAAATTGAATTTGATTAAGATTAGAGATGAAGATGAAGGGTAATATTGGTATATTACAAAAATAGATGAGGAATAAATATGGCAAAAAGGAAATATAGAAATTGTAAATTTAATTGAAATGACTAAACACTGTTTAAATTTGTGAACCGGCCAAATACTCTGTTCAAAGAAAATACATTGTATGTTTGTATGTGTGTTTCTAATTATTGTTATTTATTCATATTTGTTCTCTTTTATTCTTTAAAGTTTAACAATTCATTCTTTATCTTAATATCTTTATATTTGTTTGGGGTTGGCTTTCTTCTTTCATCTTTTTTATTGTACAGCAATCTTTCTCCTCAAACCTACCACCTCTCTCTTTTCTTTCCTTCTTACTTTCTCTTCCTTCCCTTCTTCTCCTCCCTACTTCCTTTTCCTTTCTCCTTCTCCTCCTCTCTTCCTCCCTCTCTTACCCTCACTCCTACTCTAATTTCCCTTCCCTTCCTTCATCCCTCTCTATTGCTGAATCCTTTTATGCATATGGACTACTCAGAGGGCTGAAAAAATTATTTCTGACTGGTCCTCGCACTTTTGACCAGTCCTCGAACTTAGGACTGTCCTCACATTTTACGTTTTTGCCCTATCTTGTCACCATGGTGAAGAGAAGCAGTTGTGAAATGATTGACACGGTTGTTAAGAATGCTACAATGGGCATAAATGATGAACAGTCATAAGTGCGAAGACCGGTCAAAAGTGCGAGGACCTGTCAGAAATCACTTTTTTCAGCCCTCTGGGTAGTCCTTTTGTGCATATGGACTACTCAGAGGGCTGAAAAAGTTATTTTTGACTGGTCCTCACACTTTTGACCAGTCCTCGAACTTACGACTGTCCTCACATTTTACGTTTTTGCCCTATCTTGTCACCATGGTGAAGAGAAGCAGTTGTGAAATGAGTGACACGGTTGTTAAGAATGCTACAATGGGCATAAATGATGACCAGTCATAAGTGCGAACACCGGTCAAAAGTGTGAGGACCAGTCAGAAATCACTTTTTTCAGCCCTCTGGGTAGTCCTTTTGTGCATATGGACTACTCAGAAGGCTGACAAAGTTATTTTTGACTGGTCCTCACACTTTTGACCAGTCCTCGAACTAACGACTGTCCTCACATTTTACATTTTTGCCCTATCTTGTAACCATAATGAAGAGAAGCAGTTGTGAAATGAGTGACACGGTTGTTAAAAATGCCGCAATGGGCATAAATGTGAGGATGGTCATAAGTGCGAGGACCGGTCAAAAGTGCGAGGACCAGTAAGAAATGACTTTTTTCAGCCCTCTGTAGTCCCTATGCAGATAGCCACGCCCACCGGTCACATGACCAGCTAGCCACGCCCACTTGGTCACATGACCACCAAGCCACACCCCCAACTAAGCCACACCCACAGAACCGGTTGTTAAAAAATTTGAATCCCACCACTGGATGGAGCCCATTAAATGTCTTGTGTGATGTGCTGTTCCTGGAATGGGAGATGGGGGGGTGGGGCGTGATTTTTTTTTATTTTTTTTTTTTTTATTTGATTTATATGCCGCCCTTCTCCGGAGACTCAGGGCATCTTACAATGTGTTAATTATATTATGAGTTTATTATATTATATTAATTTATTTGATGATTCTTTTTTATTAGTTTTATTGCTTTAAATGAGGTTTTTATATTCTGTCAACTGCATTCAGTCACCATTTGCGAATAGGTGGCAATATAAATTAAATAATTAATTAATTAATTAATTAATTAAAAAAACTTTTTTATATCTCTTGATCCCCCACTCCCTTCCCCTGATTATTTTTTGTTGTTGTTAATTTTGCATTTTATCTCTTTTTGAAATTTAATAAAGTTGATTAAAAATATTCAAGGCTTTTCTAGTTAGAAATTCTTTCAGCATCAGGAAACTTTCCATCTAAGAAACCAGACTATTCGAATGACCAATCAACAAGAGAACCAATCAGCTGCTCAGAATTTAAATATAGCTCGAAACGAACAACCACTCAACAACCAACTGCCCCTCCTGGCATACAAGACATTTATAAGATAAGGAGAATAGGACAAGAAAATTCTGTTGATGATGTTACCTAGTCTGGTAATGAAATGCTCAGGAATTAAATTGAAGCAAACATGGAGAATAAACCACTGATAAAAACTTTCCATCTTGTCTATCTTGTCTAATATGTAACCCTATTTTTAAAAATGTGAGGTGAAAACAAAAGCTCTTAGTTAGAGGACTTTTTGAATGATGGACTTTTGGCAGCTGTCAACCAGACTTCCAGACTTATTCAAATGTATCATTTAATGTTTTAAATTTAAAAATAATAATAAAGAATAAAGGATTTGGCCTAGCTTTATATATTTCTCCTTAGGGAAAAAAAATCATAGGCCCATGTATAGAAAGATCAAAATGTGATGCTTAATGGTCTTGAATGACTGAACTGTGATGGAGAAGGAGTAGATATTAATGAAGTTCCAGAATAAGGAAGTTTTTGTCTCAAATATACAAAACCACAAGGTTTTTAAAACAATCCCTGAAATACATGTTGAAACAAGATTGTATAGTTCTCACACAAGTTCTGTGCTGGGGTTATGCCAAGTGAATGATTTTTATTTTTTATGGAACAAGAGAAAGAGTTCACAAACTTGTCAGGCAGTTTTGTCACCATATAGTTGCAAAATGGAGAAACCTGCAGTTACAAACATTAAACAAAGATTAACTCATACCTAAGCATGGGGGCTATTTACAAACATAGAAAATAATATGATGAACGTTTTAGGGTAGATTAGTAGCTGCATCAACTTTATGTTTCTACTTTTCAAGCAAGAGACTTAAGTTTCTGTATTTCAAAATCATATTCACTTGCATAATATGTCTTATGTGCAACTTACATCTGCGTACCCACCTTGTCTTCTGGCATCTGTGATTTTTCTCACCCACTTAATCCCAGTATAAATTCTAAATCAGCCTACTTACCCTGTTGTTGAAATGAGCTATAGCTAATGAAACTTTATACCTATAGTAACATTTGTTAGGATAATGGTTCTGTCTTGCACTTTCTAGATATTATATTGGACAAACATTCAGCCTTTGCACAGAAGAATCAGTGAACATATCCAACATCAGAACTCAAAGACAAAGTAAATATTGGAATATTTCAACCTTTAAGAATAGCCCATTCACAAATTTCAAAGTAGCCATTTTGGAAGAAAGAAACTTTGCCAGTATGGCAAATCAAGAAATACGTCAAAAAAAGTCAACAATATGTCCTCTCTGATGGTCTTAACAAGCATATTCAAATTGTTAACTGATGTGGTACTGTTGTGGCCCATCAGTGGCCTGTGCAGCTAGTAGCTGATTCTGACAGCGAGGAGACTGGTGTGGTGCTGTGCCAGCAGCCTGTGCAGCTGGCACTCGAATCGGATAATGAGGAGGCTGGAGAAGATGTGGTGCCAGAGGCGGGGATTCAGCCAGGGCCTTCAGAACCTTCAGAAGCTCCATAAGTGAAGAGGAAGAACAGGAGAAGCCTCTTCTCGATGCACAGGTGCACAGAGCTGCCAAAAGGCAGGAGTGGCTCCTCAGGAGGAGGACTCCTCGAGAGTAAGGCTTAGGGCTAATTGGCCACTCCCTTAGCCTATTTAAGGAAGGTCGATGACTGAGGCAATTTGCAGGGAACAACTTTGTTCATTTTCCTTCGTGTCTTGATCTTAGTTCTCTGCAAATTGTTTCTGGGCTTTCTGCCAACCATAGTAAGATTATGATTATTTATTCTTTGGATTCTTGTAGGCTGTTAAGAAAGTTAATTAACAGCCTTTGTTTGAAAAAAACTGATTTAATTTAGTAAACTAAGGTTTGTACAGACTTTGTGTGTGCTGCATTCTTTGGGGTCCGTAGCTGGGGCAGAACAGGTACTTGCAATCTGACTCATATTTAACTTGCATGATCATGATTATCTTGTCTTCTGTTCTCTATTCCTTTAAAACAGCCTCCTCCTGCCACTTCATCCCCAATCTAAATTTTATATCAATTTAGCTACTTCATTGCATCTAATGATGTGAAGTGTCGCTCACAAAATCTATGCTTTTACATAAACTGAATAGTCCAAAAATGGTGCTACCAGACTCTTCCTATTATGTTGGTTTTGGAAATAACAGAAAGATGATGCAAAGGAAGAAAATCAGTAATGATGTCACATGCCAATATTGCCTCCACTTTTCCTGATAGGCTATCTTGACCTTTCTAAGTACATCAAGTGGGTGGGGCAAACTGAGATTCAGAGAACTAACAGTAAATTTGGATGCATACATTTCTGTTCCATAAGGGTAAGGAGGCACTCTAGGAGGGAGACTATAAAACTCAGACTTTGTTGAATAGCATGGTACAATTTTTTTGCACTAGCTGTAGATGAATATAGTGATAGTGAATTTTCTGTGAATTTCAGTTTAAAATGCTTGGAATTTGAATACTACAGATTTTTTTTTTTAAAAAAAATACAGACTTGGTGAACAATGACCAATGTTGGTGTTGGTTTGGGTTCATAAGGCCATATCCCTTGAGCAGTGGGGATATCCCAAAGGCATATCAATTCCAGACTTTGAGAACGCAGGTATAAAGCAACCCTGGGTTGAAGAAAACAATAGAAAATAGGTACAACTTTTTGGTAAAGAGTTTGACTTTTTAAATCCTCTGGTTTGAAATGCCTTTACTATGAGAATACAAAACATAGGTTTGGAGATTCAGAATGAGCTCAAATGTTGACTTTTGAGTGAAAAGCATTTTATCTGCTTATAATTAATACTATTGGATAAATTTTCTTCATGAGCCTACTTAAGATCCAGTCATACATATAATTAAGAGTGATGGAATGAAGAAGCACATTGAATTAATTAATGGTTACAATTGGATGGAAAATGGCTTTTATCTAAAGATCATCTTCACCAGATCAGGTGACATTATTCTCCCACTCCCCACAACATTTTATGAAACATAAATCCCATTATTTTGATTTTGCTATTTTTCCATATTTGATGGTGCTTTCTATATTTAGGCTTTCTTTCTAAACCCTAGAAACCTTTCTAAATGAACAAAAAATGCCAGTTGTTTAAAATAGAAGGTGCTTAAAAAATTAATGCAATACAGCACTTGTGAAATATGAATATATATGAGATGTTGAATGTCTCATTCACTGATCAAAGATTATAACAAGAACAGGAAAATGAAGCAAATTATTTGTCCTTCTGTTTCTGTTTCCCTAATGAAAAACAAAATAGCTATGAAACATTGATTATCCACATAATGAGAAGAAGGAAACTCAGAAGGAACAAAATTGTATTTTTTTTATTTTATTAATTTTAAAAACATACACACAGAGAAAAAGAAAAAATACAAGTAAAACAATACATTACATATACAACATTTAAACTTAGTGTTTTATTTCTTAAGATAGTACATCAGTAAATTACATTTCTCAATATCTCTATCCACATCTCTCCTTATATAATGATATTTTTAAGTTCTATTTTAACTCTAATATGTCTTGTTTGGTACACGAGTTGGTTCAAGTTTTTAGGGTCATCTTTTATTTAGTTTTCTTTTTTTTCCAACCACTGATACCATTTTTCCCAAACCAGGTAGTATTCAAATTCTTCCTTTTCTTCGAGTTCTTTGGTGAGTTTGTCCATCTCGGCACATTCCATTACTTTCGCTATTAATTTATCTTGCGTTGGGATTTCTTCTGATTTCCAGTTTTGTGCGAAGATAATTCTCACTGCGGTCAGAATATGTGTGATTAAATATATTGGGAGGGTTTTTTCGTAATTTTTAGTGAATATGCCTAATAAATATGTTTCCGGTCTTAATGGTATTTTTTGTGCTGTTATTTCTTCCAGTTGGGTTTTGATTTTGTTCCAAAATTGTTTTGCTTTTGGGCATAACCACCACATGTGATAGCATGTCCCTTTTTGTTTTTTGCATTTCCAACACAGTGGCGAAGTATTGGGGAACATTTTTGAAATCCGTGCTGGGGAACATACCATCTATAAAACATCTTATAGGCATTTTCTTTGTATGATACTGATAGTGTCAATTTACTATTAACTTTCCATAATTTTTCCCATTTGGCTAGTTCAATACTGTATCCAAAGTTCTTCACCCATGTGATCATGTTTTCTTTTACTATTTCCTCTTCTAATTTGTGTGTAAGTAAAAAATTGTAAATTTTGGTTATTAATTTCTCATATGGGCCCAATAATATTTTATCCAAGTCATTCAGTTCTTTTTGAATTCCATATTTCTCTCCATGTCTGATTTGTATTTGTATTTTAGTTGTAGGTATGGCCACCAGTCAATTTCCACATCTTGTTCTTTTAATTCTTCTCTGGTTTTTAATTTCCCCTCATCGTTTAAAAGATCTTGATATGTATTCATTTTATTTGTGTCCATAGTATTGGGATATATTTGTGCTTCCATTGTTGAGATCCACCGTGGGCTGCCATCATAATAGTTTTTCCTAATTTCAGTCCAAGTCTTTAGTAGTGTGTCTCTTACAATATGCCTTCGGAATTGTTCATGTTTTTTAGGTTTCTCTTCCCATAGATATACGTGCCACCCTTTTGTCAAATCAAAACCTTCTAATGTTAGTATGCGTTTGTTTTTGAGTTCAATCCACTCTTTGATCCATGTTAATATTGATGCTTTGTAGTAAGTTTGCCAATCTGGGAGCCCCATTCCTCCTCTATCTCGTTTATCCTGTAGGTGTTTCAGTTTGACTCATGCCTTCTTCCCCTGTGAGATATTCTTTAGTATCATCTTATCCAGATCTCTGAAATAGATTTTTCCTGAGTTTGTTGGTATCACCTGGAGTAGATACAGCATCCTTGGGATGATGTTCATCTTGATGGAGGCAATTTTACCTAGGAATGATAGCTGTAGTTTAGTCCAAAATTGTAAATCTTTTTCTATTTGTTTGGCCAATTTATTGTAATTATCTTCTTTGAGAGTTGATATTCTATTGGTAAACCAGATTCCTAGGTATTTTCTTTTCTTTGCTGTTTGTATTCCTAGTATGTTTTCCAATTCTTTCTCTTGGTTTTTGGTAAGATTCTTGGTTAACATTTGTGTTTTTTGTTTGTTAATTTTCAGCCCTGCTACTTCCCCATATTGTTCTATTTTGGTCAATAATTTAGGTCCTGATTGTAGTGGTTTTTCTAGGATGACTACTATGTCATCCGCAAATGCTTGCAGTTTGAATTCCTGGTTCTTTATCTTTAGTCTCGTTATTTCTTTATCTTCCCTAATTTCTTTCAGTAGTATTTCCAGTGTCAATATAAACAATATGGATGATAGGGGATATCCTTTCCTCACTCCTTTCTTTATATCGAATTGTTCCGTTGTCTCTCCATTAATCAGTATTTTTGCTGTTTGAGTGTTATATATCCTTTTAATCATTGTATTTAACAAAATTGTATTTAAAAAGCATGCTACTGGTGCATCTGACTGAAGGATCATTTCAATGTTGGTTTCCATACCGGTAGCAAACCCCACTCGCTGTATCTTTGCTTTGTGTCACTAATCCAACATAGTGCAAGTGTATGAAACATGCAACATGCCATACCTGTTTAAGAAATTATGAGAGTGGAGCCAAAGTCATAGCAGAGCATTTAGTGTCACTTACTAGCTCTTGTGTAATTTACTTTGCATAATTCTGAGCTCCTCAGTGAAGCGAAGCTTTACATATCTTCAGTTCATTGTTAGAAGGATTATAATTTGAATTCCCTTTTATTGGAACTCCATTTTAACTGAGAATATTTCTCCAGTTAAATAGGAACATGAATGATTTGGTATAGCTGGTAGATGCTTCATGTCTCCCAAGTCCTTAGTATTAACAGACACACTAATTCCTGCCAGAAAAATATTTCTGAGATGACTTTCATACCTAATATCCCTTTTGTGCATTAGTGAAATGCTATGCAAGAAAGGTCTTGTATACCAGGGTTTGTATTCATCTTGCTTTATCAGCACAGACTTACATGCTGAAGGAGAAAATCTCTGGAGGAACAGAAAGATTTAAGAAACTGAATACAGTGGTAAAATGTGCATAGACAGCATTCTATAAAATGTCATTACTTTTAATAGAAACGACAGAGGATTCTTATTTAGAATGCATTGGTTCTTCACCAGAAATCAGGCCAGATAATTTGGAAAGTCACAATCTCAGGAAAAAGATTCATGTGTGTAATTCAAGACCAAGCAATTCTTACAAAGAATAGATGTCATGCAGCCCTTCCAATATTATTGTACTACAATTGACAGCATCCCTCATTATTGATCATATTGGTCTGAAAGTACGAAAGCTCTTGCACAGAGACATAGCATCCATAATAATAGCTGGGCACCTGTTTTGCATGGAAGAGCTGATCCAAATATTTCAAGGTGCAGCAGGGAAATTTTTCTTTCTTTCATATATAATGTTAGAAAGCTGCTATCAGAACAGGTGATTTTTTTTTTAATTGCCCGTTCTTTATTATGTTATCTTTTTATTTTTCCTATTTAAGTAAAAAGCACCAAGAGAAATAATAAAGGGGGGAAATGTGTAATTGCAGGCATAGCAATTTAATCCCTAACCCAGTGATGGTGAACCTTTTTGGCACCGAGTGCAGAAAAGGAAGCGCAAGTGCGTGTGAGCAACACCAAGTGCCGAAAAGGGAGCACATTGCTCGCACGTATGTACTCATCAGGGCCGTGACCAGGAAGAGGAGCTGCCCAGGGGGCTTGCATGCACTAGATAAGGTACTTCTGGTTTCCAGCGTGCACATGCGTGCCAGCCAGCAAGTCTTCCGGTTACTGCCGCACATGCGCACACGTCAATCAGCTGGCCAACACGCATGCTCACACTGGAAAATGGAAGACCATCTCTTCCGGTTTCCAGCACTGCTGCACGCACAAAGGCCAGCTGATCATTGCATGAGCATGTGCGCCAGAAACCTGGAAGAGGAACAGATGATGCTGCACGTGCCAGGCAACATGGCTCAGCGTGCCACTTTGGGCACATGTGCCATAGGTTCGCCCTAACCCATCTAAGTTGTCATTTATCATTTTTAAATTGCTATTATTATTGCTATTGTATAAACTTTTTTTTCCATAAGGTGGACATGATAAGTGAGGATTGAAATAAAAATCCCCAAAATGAGATGGATTTTTTTAAAGAAAATAGAAAAAAATGTGTATAGAAAAAAAAATTCAAGCAGCCTCTCTCTTTTATACTATTTTCCTCCCTCCCCCCCCCCCAGAATTGCAAAAAACCAATTAAGTATTTTTATACTGTGCTTTAGAGAACCAGTTCGGTACAGTGGTTAACTGTACAATGTACAATGGGACTAAGCACTGAAAGACTGTGAGTTCTAGTCCAACCTTAGGCATAAAGCCTTGGACCAATCACCTTCTCTTAATCCTAGGAAAGAAATAATGACAAAAACCACTTTTGAAGAAACCTTGCCAAGAAAACTGGAGGGATTTGTCCAGACTGTCTCCAAGAACCAGGCATGACTGAGTGGAAGAAACAAAAACTAAGCTTTAAATTTTGGCAACTACATTAATTTCTGTGTAAATCATTTAATTGTTTTAATCAGTTTCACTTTTGCTTTGAAAGCCATGTTCTCAGTGTTATAATTTGCTTTGCTTTGTGATATGTTGTATATAAGGGGGCCATTCTGCTTGAATTTGGTGAAATCTCTGTTATGAATATATAGAATTATTTTTTCCCATTTCATGTTTTCGTATTTTGGTCTTAATATCTTGTTTGTCAACAAGGTTTTCTTTTAACTTATTCACTCATTCAGTCATTCAGTCATTTGACTTCGACATTTGACTTGGCATCTTAAAAGATTCTGGGCAGTTCACAACAACAGTAAAAATAACAAAATAAAATAAAAGCAAAAACTGGTGCTTCGACCATTCTCTGGTGACCACCATCCTTCAGGCTCCTACCTCACTCCATTCCACTGCTTAGGAGATCTTGTTTTATTTCTTTCCAGAATTTGTTTTTGTTTTGGAATATTTCTTTATTGCACCCTATACAAATAAAATCCTCAATAATTGCTTATTTGTTCCCTTTGACTATCATTAGGTGTTGTACCTAATGTTTCTTGACAAATGTTTCTTTTCTTTTATGTACACTGAGGGCGTATGCACCAAGACAAATTCCTTGTGTGTCCAATCACACTTGGCCAATAAAGAATTCTATTCTATTCTATTCTGTTCTGTTCTGTTCTGTTCTATTCTATTCTATTCTATTCTATTCTATTCTATTCTATTCTATTCCATTCTAAATATTTCACTAGATCTTTTGCTATTTCATAATCAGTTTCTTTATTCACAGTTTGCTTCTTCAAGAGTTATTACATTCTTTGTCCAGAAAGTCAGCCAAAATCTTTGATTATTTTGATCAACTACCATCTAGAGTTTTGTGGTTGCAGAATTGTTATTAGTGCATCATCTGCAAAACATTTCATCTTCTTTATACTTTATAGTTTATATATTCTTTATAGGAATACTCCTCCTATTAATGTTGATCCCAATTACCTTTTTATCTTTTCAGATCCTGTTGGCCAAAACTTCTAGAGCAAGTACAAATAATGAAGGGCAAAGTGGACACCCTTCTCTTGTTACTTTGTTAACTGAAAATTTTATAAGAAGTATTCCATTCTCTATAAGTTACCTTTTATACAGGTTGGCAGAGTGATGCATTTTTGAAATGGTTCTCCTATGTAAAATATCCATCACTTTAATCTTGCCTTATTTTAATTGTAATATTATTTTTTAGAATTGCTGATTATTTTATTGATTTTTGTCTGTTTCACACAAACTCACTTTTTGTGAGATGGATGGCCATATTAATATAATGAATGACATAAATAAATAACAACTGTGCCAATATGCCCACACAATTCTTCTGAAGGAAGAAAAAGCCCAAGGACAACATATATATTTTCCTAGACAAAAAGTATTTTTTTACAAAACTCCAAAATGTATAGTTGCATCAAAAAGCAGGTTACCTGATGCAAACTATTTGGGAAGGAGAAAATAGAACTAATGATAGCAGTGAGCTTTCAACCCACAGGGCTCACATATAGATCTCATCCTCAACAGCAGCTGACATGGCTAAAGGGATAAAAGGTACTCTATGTATTTGTGTATATGAAAGCTTTTATTAATATAAGTTTTCCTCTATCAAAATCTAGTGGGGAAATATTCTCAGATATTGTTTCCTTTTGGGATTTTAGAACAAATTGCAAATGATTGAAATCTGAAATTACATTGTTGTTTTAATTAATCTCTCCCAATTATCTATGGTAAACTCTTTCAAGTACTGAAGAGTTTTGCAAATGAAACTCTCCTTCACCTTCAAACAAATCCCATAAGCTATTTTAACCCTTCAGAAGATCCCTTTTAAATCTGATTAAGAGGCTTTCATTCATCAAGCTTTGGGTGAGTAGCTTGTATATCACAACAACTCCTAATGCTTTCTTGGTTTTGCTTGTTTTACAAACCTAGATATGATGAGACTTTGTCATTTCCATTTTGAAGTGGAATCGTGTGAACAGATGCATCATTACATGACACTCTTAACACTTCCTGGGGGATACTTCAAATGCATTCATTTTTTTGGTACACACAGCTGTATGCTTAACTTATTGAAACTTGTTTGTTTAAACATGTGCAGGATTTCAGCTGCAGTAATTCATCAAAAATCTCTCCAATTCTTTTATATATGTTTTCTCTTTTTCCTCACCCTACTAGCTCCCAAAATCAGAAATGCTTTTAGAATAGTTGTAAATTATTTCTCTTTTTAAAATTCATTTTACCGATTTAGTTCTTTGCCAACATAAATGTTTTAAGGTTAAATGCACACACAAAAAACAAACCATTATCACCATAACAGCGACAAATACAACAATGTGCTAGAAAATAACAGCTTATGCTATCACATTTTCAAAAATTCAATTATATTGTGCTATTGTACCATTCCCATTGTGTTTTTCAAAAGTTCAGTAAACATTTTTAAATTATTTCATAACATTAGCATCTCTAATAAATATAAACATATAGTAAGCTTTAAAAGATTGGGCCAGGGGTTATTTTCTTGTCATTAGAAGATCATAGAATAAGTTGCAGATAAATGTCCTTAGGGGAAAAATTCTGTATCAGACCCAGTGTAATGCAGGAATTCAGTGTGCTTGTTTAGGACCAGAAAACCCAGGTTCAAATAGTGTCTTCCACCGATCCCAAAATATAAACATAGGTGACTTTAGACTAACCAAAATATCAATCTACTCTAACCTAATATTTCTACACAATTTTTTAAACCAGAATATTCCAAGTGTGAAATGAGAAAATATACACTACTTTGAGTCCTCGAAGAAGAGTCAATGATGGGAGATCCTGAGGGATTTTTCCAAGTTGATCTAAATGTGTAATCGGATTGATATTTACAGTAACTAGATCATCCTTCAAATACTCAGGTCCAAAGCTGTCTTTAAATATTAAATCTAAGTAATCCTATTGCTTGGAAATGGATTAAGAGCCACTGAGCCTTGTAAACATCAATGGCATATTCCTCTGTAGAAAAAGCAAAAGGTCAATTCTTTTTAAGTCCCACTATGATCAAACCTGTAGTGATCTATATTAATGCATTGCTCAAATCTGTCAACTTTTTCTTTTCTATGAAAGACTGACAGCAACTCAGGATTAAAAATTGTTGGAAAGAGACAAGGAGAGAGAGAAAGATTTGACAAGCCCATAGTAAACTTTTCCAAATACTAACAAATAATGAAATAGGTGTGACTCTCACCACACAGGTTTACTTAAGAATAACTGCCTGGTGTGTAAGTGTCTACCTTACTTCTTTCACTTACAAAATATCTGGTCAAAAATATTTTCTATACATTTTTATAAAGTTTTAGTCAGGTGTTATTTTGCTTGTTTGGCTGGTAAACATCATAGCTGCTAACCTTTCAAGATTAAAGAATAGGTTGTGATTCAACATTATGCTGCATTAATAATAATGGGTTTTTGAATGGTCATTTCCAATTTATCTTCAGAGGCAACCCCAATTTAACCTGTCACTGTTATCTAATCTAGAAGTTAGCCAGCTATGTGCTGGAATATGAGTAAATGACATCAATGCCTTCAGCTTTTCAGGATGCATAAAGGAAATGGGAAATTGAATCAATTGAAATGCAAAGGAGATTGTAATTCCAACTTTGGTAGAGCTACTGTACCTAATGCAGTTCTTGAGCTGCATTCCTTCAGGCTCAGTGATACATAGGTTAGCATTGCAAAACACATTTGTAAATTGAAATGTGAACCAGTGTGCTTGGATATGAACTCTCATTCTGCACACACATCTGCAAACATGTGATAATCAGAAATAGAACTTGTTTTGTGTACTTTATTAGTTATTTTTTCCCTTTTTTCCTTGGCACAGAGAAGTGTTAAATTCAAACAGTGGCTGAAGCAATATTTGCATTGTAATAGAAGGAAGGAAAGAAGGAAGGAAAGAAAGAAGGAAGGAAGGAAGGAAGGAAGGAAGGAAGGAAGGAAGGAAGGAAGGAACTAGGCTTTTTGGCTATTGGCTTTAATGTAAATGGAAATGTAATTTTAAGGGGTGTATATCTGAGAATAACTTGCACTGAACAATAGAAGATTCAGATCTGAGATGAAGAGTTTTGAATTGGTGCCTTTGCTTCGTTCTGAATTAGGAAGGCAGAAAACAGCTGATACCCTTATTTTTAGAACGAATGAATGGATGGATGGGAAAATTTATTACAAGTCAGATCACTGACCCATTAAGCATATCAAAATAAAAGCAATAAAATAAAATATAGTGAAATGAGTAAGAACAATTTAGCACTCTGCACACTAAAACCATTAATCTATTTCAAATTATATTTTGCCCCATACTGATTATTAGAGTATCTCACAATAAGAAAAAAAAACAATTAAAATACATTTAGGACAATTAAGAGAAAAATTGCCTTAAGGATCCAGAAGGCAAAACAGCAGATAGCAGAAAGCACAGAGACACAATATGCTTCAATACAGCTTCAAAAAGGCTGAAGGTGATTATCAAACAATAAACACAATCTTCTTTTCTTTCAGTTTAATGCTATCAATTTGCCTTCAAGAAAAGAGTTAACCACAGTTTAAAACTATGAGAAAAGTGTATGGTATAAAAATTGGTCACCATATGATTCCTGCGCATTCCTGAAACAGTCTTTCTTTCTTTCTTTCTTTCTTTCTTTCTTTCTTTCTTTCTTTCTTTCTTTCTTTCTTCCTTCCTTCCTTCCTTCCTTCCTTCCTTCCTTCCTTCCTTCCGTCCTTTCTTTCTTTCCAAAGCAAAGGAATGCTAAAACCCTTTCTTTTTCTGCTATTAGGATGGGTTGACCGGATAAATTGAAGCTCTGAAATCCTGCTGTGGGTTCAAGAAAAATATGTCATGAATTTCAGTAATAGTAAAATATGTGAATTGCCTACATCATAGCACAAATGTCAGCAATAAAAACTATCTGCTCTTTTTTTTTTTAATTTCTGCTCCAAAAAGAACAGGAGGAAGAAGAAAAAGGTAAGCTGGGTAACAAATAGTAGAATTAAGGAATATGTATATATGTAAATACTGTATTAATATATATGTACACATACACACACACATTACATAAAGTTATATGAAAAGATAAGCATTAAAAAGTGCTTATTAGTTGTCATTTGCAAATGTCTCAGTAATAATGTTGCAAATGAGGCAGATTTTCTGGCTCTTAGCATAAAGACCATTTACTTGAAAAGCTGACAGAATATAATGAAATACCAAATCTTGTGACCCTGAAATAAGGCAAATGTAGAATGATATATGCATCTCATTCCAGGACATCCTCCAATGTCACTGTATTACTGCTATAGCCATTCAAACATTATCTGCCTTTTACCTTCTACCTTCTTCTGTTTTCTTCCACATATTCCAGAATTTTCCGTTGAATTTTCAAAACCATAGATTAAAGATTAAACTAAACTCACTTATGCAGACTCCACTAATAGGTTCTCACATGCAAAATCAACACAGTGTCACTGATAAGTCATTCTTCTTTATTTGTCATTACCAAGTTGTTATTTAATTGTCATGATTGTGACAGTGAAATTTATTTGTGTTGGCTGCTCTGCAAATCTGCAAAGGCAGAAATAGCTTGTATGGTACCTTTGGAAGGAAGCAGCCTCTTGTCACATCAATCCCTGGTGTTTGCAGAATAGTTTTAATAAGTTCCTTTCTTGGACCATGCAGTTTACTACTTAGCTTTCCAAGACCATTTTGAAGTAGATAATGTTACCTAGTTAGCTATCCAAGTTGAGTCTGGGAATGTGCATTGTTCAGTTAAAAAAAAGAAATGTTAAACTGGTATCAAAAACTCTATGTAAGACCTTGTGAATGTAATATCTTGTATTTGCCAATATGGCAGCATCTGTAGTTACTACAAGTTTATATATGTGCCCTGCTGTAAAATACATCATTTTGAAGGACTTTTCAGCTCTTTATCTTATAATTCCCTTATGAAATATATAAAACATATAACTGGTGATTCAGCTTTAAATATAGCTTTCTAAACCTGCAAATATGTTCTGGGAAGAATTCAGATATCAGAATGAACCTAGAAAGACTTTCAGTGGTCAAAGATCTTTGCATGCCTGTGCTAGTCAATAACACTTCAAACATTTCATTTTTAAAAAGTTATTGCTTTGATAGATGCGTTTCTGTGTGCATGCGCGTGTGCTGATAATTTAAAATCAGGATTGTGGGAAAATGATTTATTGCTCTCAGATTCGGAATAAAAAGCAAGGCTTCAGGTTCCCTGAGGCCACATGCTTAATAATAGTTAATAGTGCATGCTACCTTCAATGGGCAGTAAAAATTGTTCTATATCATTGATTTTAATGTAGTATTATGATTTGTTGGCCTCAAATGTTAAAATGTATGGTTTGTGGGCTTTTGCTGATTTCTTTTTAGTTTTATATTTGTACTAGGAAATAAATAAAAGAGCAAAGATCTGTAACAAGTCTCATAACTGCATGAGTTGGTAAGGAAAGGCTACCTTAAATCTTCTTTGCCATTAAGCAAAGAGAAAGTCTGATCCATGTTTAAAGTGATGAACATATGCTGATTTTACCGTCTTATCTTCTATGATTGAGAGATGACCACCTGATTCTTAGCTTTCTAAGTATTCAGTATATAATCTAAGCTAAATATTTAATGGGCTATTTCCCTTGATCTTTGGAGCCTAAAACCTTACTACCATATCTAGAAAAATCTGATTAATATCTGGGTTCTTCTGGATAATCACCAATGACTCTACTCAAAATCACTTATTTGCACAGATTAATGCTAAGTCTGAATATTATTTAGTGGACATTGTAGGAGGAAAGTCATGTGAGCTTATGATAATTTAAAAAAAATTAGAAAGAGCCTCTTAGCACTTTTTAAGGTGAACAAATGTTACTAGAAAGCTTTAGTTTTCATGAACCTAGAAGCACAAGGTTCAGTATGTCTTTCTTCAAAATTCTCTTTTGTTTCTATATACTTTTATAGATGCCAAAGTACCTTTACTGTCATATTGTAGATGATGAAATTGTACAATAACTTGTTATTTTGTGGCAAAGATGGTAAATTTGTCCTTGGTCTGAAGAGCACTTGTAGCTATCAAAAAGAAGTAAATGGTGTATTATGCTAGGAATATGCTGCAATGAGGTATCATTATAATTTATCTTCCTAATTTGATATTCTAGTGAGTTCAAATGCATTTTTTCCATGAGCTGTTCTAATGAAAGTAGAAAAATACTTCAATTACAAGATGCTCAGTTACATGCAATATGTCTGTATTGCATATGCCAGTAATGGCTAACCTTTTTGCCATCGCGTGCCAAAAGTGGGGGGGTTATTCGCGCACGTGCCCACACCCATAATTCTATGTGCCCCGTCCCCCACACATGTGTGTGCAACCCCCCCATGCTCCTCCCACTTTTGGCATGCAATGGCAAGGTAGGCCCGTTTTTCGCTCTCCCCAGGCTCCAGAGCCTTTCTAGGAGGCTGGAAAGGGCAAAAATGGCCTTCCCCGCTCCCCTGGAGGCCCTCTGGAGGCCAGAAACAGCCTTTTTCCTGACTTCCGGTGGGTCCAAAAGGCCCAAAAATCAGCTGGCTGACAAGTGTATGCATGCTGGAGCTGAGCTCGCATGCCCACTGATATGGCTCTACGTGCCACCTGTGGCATGCGTGCCGTAGGTTCGCCATCATGGGCATATGCTATAGGTATTAACCTAGGTCAACTAGGTTGGGCAATCTAGCACATTATTCCTTCTACATGGAGACACTTAAAGGTTGTCCATATGTATTTATCTCTTAACCTCAGAAATGGGATTATTTCTGGTTCATTGCCATTTCCATTTTCATGACAGTAAGCTTGATTGTCATCTTTTGCATGGCAATATGGAACTCAAAATGATAAATCCATTTTCTCAGTTTTCACCATTTTAATTTTGAAAATAATAAGTCTCTTGTTTGCTCAGCTGCAGCGACTGAAAGCATTGGGCTTTCATAAGACTTCTCTTAAACTTGTCATGTTAATTTTTTTCCATTAATGTAAGAATTTAAAGTCAATCCTGTTGATTGCTGAACAATCATGTTGAACAAAATGGACCTGCAACTCTTCCCAGATTTATCTCAGTTATTACTGAGAAAAGGTCTGAATTAAAAAGTCCTTTAACTATACCTCAGCTTTCATAGATGACCAAGTGGAGAAATCATTTGGATTACAGATAAGATTAGGAGTGACTTGCAGTGACAATAACCAATCATTTACCAGCTATTGGCTAGTAGTTAACTTGTCCTCATTTTTACAATTCTGCAGTAGAAATCACTGTATGTGTCCCAGTTATAAATTATTGGAAGACCAACCTCAAAATAGGCATTGGCAAGGAAATGAAATTGGCTAGGGGACACTCTGAGTTCCGTTTATTGTCCTGAAATTGTTCCAAAAGTCATCATGGACTTTCAGTCATTTTCAGTAAAGTGGTGGAAAAAATGCGCCCTTCTCTATGAACAGAAGTAATTATGTAGTGTATTGTTAGCAACTATATTAATATAAATCTAAATTTGGAATAGAAATGGAATTAGTTACTTTTAATATCAAAATGAATCAACTTGTTTCATTAAAATAGAGTGGCTTAATGCTCTGCTGATTATATGAAACAGGTATGAGTGGCAACTGATATGGGATGGCCCATAAATGTCTTGGAGTCATTCAAATACAAATTTGATAATAGTGTTTCAGGAGACAGATTTCTTTTCCAGAGGCCAGATGAAAGATTTTCTAGGATGCGTCCTCTCCTTTAAATCTCAGTTCATAAATCAAACTTCTAAATCAGAGTTTATGATATTTGTTCTTTTATGTTTTTTGTGCTTTTCCAAGACAGTTTTGATTCTTTCTGGGAAAGTGTATATATGTGTGTGTGTGTGTGTGTGTGTATATATATATAAATATGTGTGTATTAATATGTGTGTGTATATATAATTGTATATATAATTAATATGTGTGTGTATATATAATTATTTCCCAGAAAGAATATATATATATATCCCTTTTAGGGATATGTTCACAATTACATGGGAAGAAACCCGAAATATTAACTGTACACACATATATACCCGTGAAAACTTACATAGACAAATATATATATATATATATATATATATATATATATATATATATATATATGTGTGTGTGTGTGTGTGTGTGTGTGTGTGTGCGTGTGTGTGTGTGTGTGTGTGTATAATTTTATTGAGTGCCATGCTGTGCTATTTATGAATATTGAAACTAAGAGCTCTTTCTTACCCAAGTTATCCCTGTAGTAAGAAATTCTGCTTTGACATAATCTGTTACTAAATACTTAGAGTGAAATGGGGGAAGCTAGGATTACGATGATGACAAGGCCAGGTGAAATTGTAAAATAGCAGAAAAGGAACGGGAAAAGATCTGATAAATATAGCTAAACTCAAACAAAGCTACAGTAAAACTCACCATGACTCATATAATCGATGTGAAAGTTAAAATACATTTAAAACCCTTCCATGTAATCCATGGTGCTTAACACAATTTATATATTCCTGGATTGTATCCATGAGTAGCTCCCAAAACACATTTAAAGTTAATATTTTGTGATGTGCTCCAATGTGTTTAAAAAGAACCACTTCTTATTCAGAATTCAAATGGGAAATCTGCTTTTTTGTCCAAATGAAATTTGTCAATTTGCCAACCAGCAACATTACCTTAAAGAAAGTGGTGCAATTATTTTAACATCTGTTGCTTGGATGAACTTTTGCAAGAATGGGAGAAGCTGATAATAATAATAGTCTTAAGCCATTGTGAAAGAAATGACTGATCCTTTAATGACAGCTTAGCAAGCTCTATCCTATTTAACTGGAAGAATTAAAGAGAATTATAAAAATGTTTATATTAGGAAAGTATGCTATCTTCCTCAGCTTTCTTTTTTT